TGAGCCAGGCTTATGCACTGCCCTCTAGCCTGAATGACAGAGTGAGACCCTAACTCAAATACCTATATACATATACTATACACTATGAAGGGGGAATATTATTAAACTTAAAAATCAGAAAATGTTTTGGGTACAGTAGATTGTTAAAGTAATTGAAAAACTAAGGATGTCAGGTGCGGTGGCTCAAGCCTGTAATACCAGCACTTTGGGAGGCAGAGACGAGAGAATTGCCTGAGCCCAGGGTTTCGAGACCAGCCTGGGCAACTTGGTGAGACCGTGTCTCTACAATAAGTCAAAAAATTAGCCGGGCATGGTAGCATGAGCCTGTAGTTCCAGCTCCATGGAAGGCTGTGGAGGAAGGGTCGCCTGAGCCCAGCAGGTCGAGGCTGCAGTGCTCATGAGCATGCCACTGTACTCCAGCCTGGGTGAGACTGAGACTCCAACTCAAAAAAAAAAAAAAAGAAAAAAAGAAAAATTAAGGAGAGCAGGCTAAAAATAATTCACTTGGATTGACACAATACTTTACACCTTCTTAAAGCTCAAACAATTTTCCAGATTATCAGCACCTCAGACATATGAGTTGTACTTTTAGTAAATGACAACTGAATTCACAGTGTTAAAAAATAAAAGGCTGGGCATTGTGGCTCAAGCCTGTAATTCCAGCACTTTGGGAGACCGAGGCGAGAGGATTTCCTGGACACACGATTTTTTATATTATAAGCAATGTTTGCTTAAGCTGTGTTAATGGATCTTTGTCCACCTGTGTAATTATGTCCTGAGGATAAAACCTAAGCGGTGGAATTACTGATTCACAGGCTATCATAGATTTTTTAAGGTTTCCGTTGCTAAATTGTCCTCCTGAGAAGTTGTATCAATTTGTGCTCTAACTAGCAGTGTTCAGGAGGATCCATTTCTCTATAGTCTCATTAACAGAGTATCATGAATAAGTACCCCTTATATTTTCCCCCATCTTTAATTTTGAAAAATTAAAAATTCAGAAGGGCCGAAAATATAGCACACTGAACAACAGTATGTATACCCTTCATCTAGATTCACCAAATGTTAACTTTTTGCGACATTTGTTTTCTGTTGTGTTCCAAACTCTTTGAAAGTAAATTTTAATTTGATGTGTTCTGTGAACTTCAGTCCTCATTCCAATAATATATTGGATGCTTGGGATTACTTATATGTACTACAGCCTAGTTTCATTACACTCAGTGACCAAGCTTTGGGCAAAGGAGTTCAGTTTTCCCTCCCATCCTGTCCTCTCTTTCTCTCTCCCCCTCTCTTCCCCTACCTCCTTCCCCACCCACCTCCCTCTCCCCCTC